TCGACCATATCTTTAATAGACAGTTCTTAAGTAAGAACTCCTATTATTCTAAAGTAACGATTTATTGTTTTCATTGAATAGGAAATATTACAATATTTTTTTTTATATTTATATAATTATATAAATTTATCCAGTATTGATGATTAATAATAAATAAATAAATTGTTACTTTAGAATAAAATAAGTTCATAAATAATAGGGACAAACATAAATTGAGCCTACCCACAAGTAGACGTAGAATAAGTAAAGCTTTTATTGGGTCAACGTATACGTTTATTCAAGAAAATCCCAGAAAACGTTCAAAATGTATCAATACCTAATTTTTTTTAAATGATAACACTCTCTGGTAATGAATTGATCGCTCCAGGCTCTTCCAACCGAACTTTGGTACATATTCAGGAAATTGTCGAACGCATTAAGTAATTAAAAAACATTAAATGACAGAGAAAAATCACAAATGAGTTAATCATCAAGCAGAATTCTCGGGTAGCAAGTTTTCGAAAAAAAAAAAAATTAAGCACTATTTCATAACATTCTGCTTTTTAGTATTTGTTGTTATAGCCAACAGAAATACAACATCTGTGAAAATTTTAACTCTCTAACTATCACGCTTCATGAGATACAATCTGGTGACAGACGGACAGACAGACAGACAGCGGAGTCTTAATGGGGTCCTGTATACCCTTTTGGGTACGGAACCCTACAAATCACCTGCGTAGGCATCGTGGATGTTCGTCTTTTATCAGCAATTACGTATTGCGGGAGAAGGGTGAAAGGTCCTATTTATTTTGTTATGTATCAACGTTATTTCGTCTCAATTTCACCGAAAGGTATACCGTTTATTTTTATTTGAAAGATGGTAAAAGAGCAACAAGCTCATCTTATGTTGTAATTACTACATAGTATAAAACAAAGTCGTCGGGCTGTCTGTCTGTCCCTATGTATGATTAGATCTTTAAAACTACGGAATTGATCTTGATGCGGTTTTTTTATTAGATAGAGGAAGCTTTTGTATAATACATTGCACCCGTGCGAAGCCGGGGCGGGTCGCTAGTATTAAATAAATTAAAAGCCTATGTACATAACAGTTCAGGGCAAAGGAGTCCTCTGGCTCAGCGGATTGACAGAATTCACATATCTTCGGGATATGCAGGTACGCGCACGATGTTTTCCTTCACGACGTGCAAGTGACGCGAAATACGTTTGTTGTTCCAATTCATATAATGGGAATCTCTGGGATAGGGGGTCATATAAACGCACTTTTAAATGCATAGTACGAGGACCTATTATAAAATCCTTTGGGTTACGCCAAACATTAGCGATTCGTCCTCTCATTCCAATCTCTGTCTGCGCTGAAGTAATAACCTAGTGTAATTGGCCCCCATAAAATGTTATGTTTATGAGACCCCGCCACGCTCTAGGGGTGAAGTAGTAGAGTTTCGTTATTCGATTTTCCATAATAGATTTTAATATGTTTTGGTTTAATAAATTATTGTCTTTGATTTTTTTATGTGAGAAGATGGTTAAATGTTTAACACCAGATGTTAAGTGACTACCGCCGCCTATGGCGTAATTGACCTTATTATAAAGTGGTCCCCGGCTACCACACCCACCAGACGAAAAGCAGAATATGAAACTTCTACTACTTCACGCCGGTCTTCTGCGAGGTCGTAGTGGAATCACTACTTGTGCGATATTTGAATGAATTGAATTAAAAAAACTAAAACAAAAGGAAAGTTTAAACTGGAACCCGGGTGGAGCTGCCCATTCGTGCAACAGCGAAGACTGTTGCGTGGCCCTACCACATCAAAGATTTAGAATACACTTATTGATTAAGCTACTGCTTTATGGATTAAGGTCATCGAACTGGTATGCTTTCACACATCCTATGGATACCGGCCGAGTATTCAACGAAAAAAAAAATGTATGAAATCTATCTGTAGGGCAGCCTCTTTGCTTCATTCCCATTTATAATTTTTAAGGCTATGCAAATAGTTAATCGTTATTCATCAGGCGTCAGTCAAACGCTTAAATTTTAGGAAAACAAGAAACGTCATGAAAGAAAATATGGTGACGCTAAAGCAATCTATCGATCATCGAATGAGTATTCATTTTGTATTTTTGGCAGCGAGATTCCTGCTATAAGCGGCGGCTATTCCGGATTGATAGCCTTCAATAAAAAAAAAAACTGTCATCTGAAGGTCTAACTGGCAATGCTATAATAATAAAGCTGATATACCTATAGCTTGTGACGAGACAAAAACATTGTAGCGATGTTTTGTAAAATATAACACTTTTCATTAGATTTTAAAAACTTAAATGATACTTAATTTTAGACACATCTTCTAATAAAAAGTATATGACAATTTAATTTTAGACACATCTTCTAATAAAAAGTATATCAGGTTAATTGAAGTGTACCATCATCACTCCCAGAACTCAGCGTGACATTTTATGAGATTTGTTTGGTGAAATGTGGCATAAATGTGTGACGATTTAAGGGGCGCAGCGGTGTCTACATCTAGTATTTCCTTGACAAATTATAATGTGATTATGCGACTAATTATGCGACTTTAAAAAAAAACAATCAGTAAATAATCACTTTAATTGAATACACATCTCTTAGTTTGGCCGTGAGTATCATAAATTAAAACAAACATTTCCTTTCAATTATTTAATAATAATATGAATCATAAGAAAATGTACAATATATTCTTCTCATACTTAAATGCTACAAATTAGTACAGAATGTTTCCATATCTAAAACGAATATCCCATTTAGCCTAATATCAATTCACGTCAGCCATGGGCCTTGGTTTAAATGATCACTTAATGTACACCACAAAGTTGTCAAATTTATAACAATCGTACATTAGCTATATACATACGAAAAGCAGTACTTAAAATGAAAAGTTAAATAACTACATTACTAATTGAAAAAAAAAAAAAAAAACCCATTGATATAATTTACATAAATATTACTTAAATGTTGATAAAATCCAAGAAATTCAATAAATTAATATTGCATGTCAAAAACTAATATTGTATTGCATGTCAACAGGTTAAAAATGGATGTGTGTGAGGAAAACTAAGAGTACTAGATTCATAGCAAACTCACTGTAATTAATATGTACTGATGTAATAAATTAACTGTAATTTTCCCTTATTAGACAGCAAAACAAAATACACATAAATGTGTTGTATTTCAGGGTTTCCCACTAGCCCGAGTGTTGACAGTATGTCTTAGAGTCATATATAGGCTTAGGTTTGAATTCAATGTCAACGAATCCACCATCGATGTCAAATTTGAATAGCCTATCTAAAACTCCTTTAAAAATTACATCAATATACAACTCCCGAATCCCTAAATTCCACTGAAATTACCATTCTGTACGAAAGTAAAGAACGATAGACGAATTATAAAGAAATAAAATAGCTTTAAACTAAAATTAGTCTGCATGTATAAATACATATCATCATTTTGAAAATACAAATGTCGTGTCAAACGTCACAAAACGTACTAGCGATTTCTAGAAGTGACATAAATAATTTTTCTGCATATTTTGAATTTATATAGTATCCATTATGAATACACAAAACGGGCTTATTTTAAATAAGAACGTCACTAAACCATACTCATACGTCAAATCGTAACTACAATTTCCTAAACGTGTCTAAATCCGTATAGAAAAACTCCATGTATGTACATAGTCAATCTTACATTACAAAAATCGCACAATCTAACTCCAAATCTCGATTACAAAATAAGATACCTAATACATACATGTGCTGTAACATCTTAATATAGATACAAAATTCTTAAAATTATATTAACATCAGGCAACATTTACGAATGGATACATAGTTATCGTATTGTACAGGTGTCATGGGAGTTGTGGATGTTTTAAATGCATACGATAGTGTAATATTATTTACCACAACTTGTTAAACTGCGTTCCCGAGAATACTCTTCCACAATTTTTAATTATCGTAGGTCTCATTAAATAGTGGAACAGGAACTAAAGATAATGTTGATAGGCTAACAAGAAATGTTTTGTTTACAATGTTACATTAGTTCAACAAGTTAAATATGATTATAGTAAAATAATTCAACAATTATATTTATTTATTTCGTGAGAAATATATCAAACTTAAATATACCTTAATCTTACGAAACAACATAGTAGAAGTCATGTTGCACACCATCAAAATACTCAATGAATGTCTGTGACTACCAATAATTGGTCTCATAAAGTATGTTCTATAACATCACAATATTTAAATATATTATCCCTTCAATTTGTGGAAGAATGTTTTGGCAAAAGGGAGTTCTTTGATATTGGTATTAAACATTATTTACAATATATATAAGGAACAAAGGAGTTCATTTTTTAAAAGCCCAGTCAATAAAAATAAACAAATAATATTAGAAAGTTTAGACGGATTTTTAAGTGTTCTTTTCAATGTAGGTACTATACTAAACTTTATATATGATGAAAATTCCAATGAACAAAAAAAAGTTGAAACACTGTAGCTTCAACTACAATTTTAAAAATGCCTTCATATTTCTAAAGTACACCAAATGAAAGTATGGGAAAAGCATTTCAAGAAAACTCTATACTTTGTCACTAGTTGTCATAAATTAAATTACATATATTTGTAATGCACAATTTAACTGTAAAAATTATAATAGTATGTGTGGGTGATATACATTGGATTGAATAAAAATAATGTGAAAAAAACAGAAACATATATGATAGACATTTGACTATCTTTAAAGTTCATCATGTTTTGAGCTTTTGATGGGAAATCAATTTTAACCCTGCATGAGTAAAATTATATAACTACCTATTAATTTAGATCTTGATGGTTGTTACACATTGTGCCCTATTAAATATCATGTAGGAATTCACACCATTGATAAAGTTTAGATAGAGAATGGTTTAAAACCAATATCTTGATTGTTACATGAAGAACTCCCTATTTTCGTGTGGTGGTCAAGTGTGCCTAATCTGTGTGCTTGTTGAGTTACCGGTGGGGCTCTGGCAATTTGGCAAATCTATTATCGTTATTTCGATTACTCGGAGACCTCTCAGAATGGGGTCTGTTATGTGAATGCCTCTCGGGTTGTATACTCTTTCATTCTGCGTCGCTATGAATTTTGAAATCTTTCGTAGATGCTGAAAACAGGTGCGAAAACATAAATTTACCCACATCACAAAATTGGACATTAGAGTTGTGAAAAGTTACAGATGATGATATATAAAAAAAACTGTTGTCAACATCTTTTTCTCCAATGATTTTTAAAAACAAACAGATATATTTACATTTTTAGAAAACTGAGTATCAAAGTATATTCAACATGTACTTTGTGTTGAATATATTTATTAAGTAAGATTTATGTGGACCAGCTGTATATAATATACCATTATCCATCAGTTGTGCACTTAGTGGGGCAACTTTGTAATGACATAAGTAAAAGTAGTGCAAAATAAAACACTTTGCCACAATCTTTTTATTTTCATCATTATCATCATCATTCCAGCCTGTTAGGCATCCATTGCTGAATATAGGCCTCATCCACGGACTGCCACAAAGCATGATCCTCAGCCACCTGCATCCATCAACTTCTCGCACATTTGCATAGGTCAAAACTCCATCTAATGGGGTCTAGTGTAGGATAAACTGCAATGGCCAGTACAAGGTTGCCTCTTGAGGGCCCTTCTTCCCTAACAGTTATCGGTTCTACAAGCTAAGAATGGCCAATTTGGCAAATTTTTTTTATATCGTGGGCGTAGAAGGAAAACCCGCTAAGTTCATTTTTGGCTAAAAATGCGTTCTTTGCGTCCACATAATGTTTGGGGGGTTCTGCAATAGAGTACCGGGTCTCCATTTAAAAAAAATCGTTGTCCATATTTCAGGCTAAGTCATTCAGCTAAGTCCTGAAGGAATAATGCGATTTTTCACGACTTATTGAATTTTCAAACCCATTTATCTCCAAATGACGAATTTTGGACTTAGCGGGTTTTCCTTCTACGCCCACGATATGTTCCTTAAGGTCACTGAAGGTTTTAATACTATAAAAAAAAGAACAAAGTCTGTCCGGGCAGCTATTGCTAAGAAATAATAGGCCAGATCTTCTTAAAGATTTTAAATCAGTCTTTTGGGATATCCATATTTTTTTTAATGTTCAGGTTTTTCAAATATTTTTTTATTTCAAAAACTATCTTACCTTTTCATAATGTGTCTCAGTGCAAATATAAATGAAATAGGCAGTGAGACATGCCAAGCATCCCTCACAATATGTGCTGCAGTCTGCAGTTTCAGCCATCTCAAAGTGTTCATTTAGCCTCTCCATGGTATATTCAAATGTTTGCCTGTCTATCTGCAACATTATTGTAAATATTGTCAATGAAATGACTAGGAACTTAATCTAACGGAAAATATAGTAAAAGATTTGGGTATAAACATTTTTAAATTTAAAAAATACTGATTATTTTTGGTATAGAAATAAAGTTAATGGTAACTAATATGAACGAAATAAGTAATTGATATATACATAACATCTTTATATCATTTTGTGTTTAAACATATATCATATACCATAACAAAAAAAGCTAAAACTACCTATAATACGCCAGTCCTTTCAGGATAAATTCCTACAAGTAATTGTATGTCTATTATAAAAATTATACTGGCAAATTAAAAGTATTTCAACATATATTTAAGCATTATATAATTTATTCAATCAAAACAATTATGATATGTAAGAATAGTAATGGATCTTTAATTTGCTGAATAACTTATAAATTTATTTGTAAAAATTGTGGCAGTACATTTTTCATAAAAATTGAACATTATTTTTGCATACTATATTCAGGGAAAGAACATAAATCACTTAAATGTTGTACTTGATGAGCATTTATTAAAATCGTTAAAAGCATTGGTGCAAATACTTTTGCAAAAACATTTTAAACAAACAAACATCAACTACTCCATATTGAAATACTGTTCACATTCCAATAACCACTTACTAACTTATGTATTAATTATTTATGTAAAATATGCTTCATAAGAACACACAAGTGTCTATTTGAATAACGATATTTTGAATTTGAAATTCGTAAGCATTCGTAAGAATTTATGAAAACACTTTCTTAGGCATATCTTTCTTTATCAATTAAAATATTTGTAAGTGAAACAGAATTACTATAACTTTTTCACATGCACTCTAATTAACTGATATTAATTATGTGGAGTGCCAATCAAATACACATTGTTATTAGGGGCTATATACTTTTTTAAAACATAGTTAACATAGTTTGTTAAACAAAAGCACAACACCTATGAATTAAACATTAGTTATTTACAATGCTTTATATTAACTTATCATAGAATCACCAGATCAAATATTTAGGATTATAATATTTATTTGAAAATCTGTGTGACAATTTTGTGTGACGATAAACAACTCCCCTTTCACTTACTCTATCTTCCAGTTCAGGCGGAAATCGCGTTTGAAACTTCACAGCCGTACCCTCGGAGTAGTCTCGTTGTATGAATATTTTTATGCCTTGCTGTGTAGGCGTTTGCTGGCTACCAGGCGTGTTAGGACCCGATGGTATTCTGTTATTCGCCATTGTCATTTTACAAACACGATAACATTTAATGTCACCGAGAATTGAGATATCACGATAGACGTCCAGCGAATTATGATTGAATTGAAAAATTATTAGCAAAGAATTGGAGAATCCCTTTACAAAATGCACAGCTGACGTGTTTTCTCACAAAATATAAGTAATCCTAATCAGCCTAAGACCTGATAGACTTAAGTTTCCATAACTTTCCACATGTGACAGAGCAGACATAAGACATGACAATTGACAAGTAAATTATAGATTTTTTTTTGGATTTTATGGCCCGGTATCAAGGACCTTTAAGCCAAAAGTAAATTATAGAGATAAGCCATTCTCTTTGGTTAGTAAATGTTCATAGACAAAAAGAAAAACTGCATTAAGCAAGACTTCTTTAGCATAACGAAAGAAAAATAACTAAAATGTTTATCCCATGTTCCAGTAACTTTTGTTTGTGAAAATAAGACATTAAATGCACTTGATAACGAATTAAATTATATAACTTAATTTTAGGTAAGTGTCAAAAAGTTGTTATTAGTTGCTATATAGTAAAACCATATAGTTGGTTTGGTGTTGATTTTAGGTGTCGCGCATCGTAAAAACTCACTCTGATAATAATTATCAAAATGAAAAATTATTTTTCCCATGCAAGCCAAAAGAATTAAAATAACTTCAAAAAGTATAATAGCATGATTTATAAAGTAAATATATTTACCAAATAGTAATACAAAACTCAAACTGCACAAAAATATGATTATATTTTTATTTTATTATCTTTTATTAATTTTTTTTATTCGGAAAACTTACAGCTATTAACCTTTGTTAGTTACCTATAATTGAGTGTTTTTAAATACTAAAGAAGCCATTTATAAGTTTTCACATTTAGAAATCTTAAATTACAGTTAATAGAAAATAAATAAATACAAGGAATAAAAAAAGACACGTGAGTACAATGGCATGAACATAATTATGGTAAAAATAACAGTAAAGCCAATATTTTTTTTTAAGTGACAAAGTGGTCTTTAGTAAGAAGTGTCTTGGCCACCGGTGGTGAGGTATGAAATGGATCAATATTCGTTTGGTTATTTATAAATTTTGATGTCCTTATCATAATATAATGGTTACTTCTATAATTTGTACGAGTTTTTGGAGTGTGGAAGGATTTTCTTTTATTTGACAATGGAACATTTAATAGGATTTCAGATAATAACTCAGGTGAGTTAATTTATCCGTTAACAATTTTTAAATATAAGCAAAGGTCGTGGAACATTTAATGGAACAAAATGGTACCGGCTAAATCTATCATTGTAATCATTCTAGACTTTATATGTGCTTTATGATCTAGATATCTTAAAAATCTTTTTTGAATACACTCAATACGTGATTTATAGGTCTTACATTGTGGACTCCAACTCTGTGAGGCATATTCTAGCATAGATATAACATAGGAGCAGTACAGAATTTTGATAGGTTTTAGGTCGTGAAAAACAGAGGAGATACGGATGATGAAACCCAAGGCTTTATACGCCTCCGATACTACATAATCTATATGTTTATTATAAATAAGTTTATGATCTTGGGTAACTCCAAGATCTAGTACACCCTGTGGATTTCTGTATCTTTCAGCAGATATCTGTCTTTGATGGTGGTATTTTCCTCGTAAACGACATAAGAAAACACTTCTGTACATTTAACTCCAACTTATTCCGGTTACAATATGCTTCGAATCTAATTAGGTCAGATTGCAGTAACTTTTGATCTTGCAAATTTCTAATAACAATTAGCACTTTCATGCCGTTCGCATAAAGTAGTATTTTGGTGTGTTTGACATTTTTCTATGTCGTTCACAAATATAACGAAGAGCAGCGGTCCCAAAAGGGAGCCTTGAAGTACCCCAGTGAAGGGATGGGTAGACAGGTGGACATAAAGCCGTTGAGAACAATTGCTTGAGACCTGTTTTCAATATACGAGACAAACTAAGAGGTCCCGTGTATTCCTGCTACCTGCTTATTCAACAGAATTTTATGGTCTATCCTATCAAAGCACTTGCTTTAATCTTTATAGATACAATCTACTTGGTGACCATCATCCATAACCTTCGTGATGTAATGGGTGCGTAATAATTAGGTTAGAAACTGTCGATCTCTTCTTCAAAAACCCGCGTTGTGCTATGCTTAGCCTAGGTGAAATATAAAAGTAAACTTGATTATGTACTATCTTTTCAAATACTTTCGCGAATAAGCATATATTCATCTTAAACCATATAATCAATAGCCATATCAAATATATCTGGTTTAAATAAAAAAGTTTGTTTTAAATGATATTTGACTAGGTGAATCAAAATTCAAAATAACTATTTAACGTATATAGCAGCATTGTTCATAATTATTATATAGAGAAAAACTGTTGTTGTACCTCAACCAGACTTTATTTAATTAACATATTTTTAATAAAATATTTAATTGGAAGAATTGAATAAACATATGATGTGTAAAGTAGTTATTAAAAATTTGAAATTAATAAGAAGAATCTCATCACAAGGAGAAATGGAAATAGTTATTTGTAAAGTGATTTCCATTTCCATATTAAAATAATCAATTATCTATCGGGAACACGACAAATACGGTTGAACGATATTAATTTCAAGCGTTTGAAACGCGAATAAGACACCGCCCTAAACATGGCACCTTTAATTGATTTATTTCCACGCGCCACGCTATCGCCAGTTTTAATATTCAACGGACGAATGCAGCGAAATCGGCCTGAATAAACCGAAGCGACGCACCGCCGTCAAACTAATCAATGGATAATTCGGAATCTCCTTTTGTCTTCCGTTTAGTCCTTGCGTATGTAGGCTAGACCTAATTTGATATTCATTTATCCGTACATAAAATCGCGATTGAATCCGATTTGACCAACGCTATTTGTTTTGCAATGTGAAACTTGACCACAAAACTGTTTATGTAACTTTAAACATTTTTAAATGGCACAACTTAATAACTTTTGACATCTCATCATTATCTCAAATCTTAATGAAGTATAGTGGTGGTTTTAATATTGCAGATACCGACGTATTTGTGCGCGCTGAATTAAACATTCGATTTTGTTTACGTTCTCGAATGGTTTTCTTTATTTTCATTCGCATACACTTTCGCAGAGGTTCATATCTTTCTAAACGACGCCGCATTAAACTTTTCAATTAATCAAAAGGATGTTTCTGTATTTCTGTACAAAGGAGCAGGTGTCAAAAGGTTTTTTTTGTACATCGAAATCCACCATGTTAGATGTACACCATAGTAGGGTTTACGATCCTACCTTTAAGAAGTTAAGTCCAAGCAACCTCAGTGACATGAAATGCGAAAGCAGAAATACTTCTACTTTTTTATGGTAGAAGATACACCCGTAGGCTTGCAAATGAGTTGCCTTAATAAAATGGGCCCCGGCGACCTCACGCACCAGACGAAACGCAGGAGTGTAATACTTCTACATAAAGCCGATCTCCTGTGAGATCGTGGTACTTCCTCGGACAGCCCTGCCGATTGTGCAACAGCGAAGTGCACAGATCAAACAAAAAGATCTATAAAAACTCGCGTGAAGGAATATGTAACTGACTTAAATCAGCAGCTAGTTGTAACTAGTCCAAGACAGGATAAAATTAGCACATTCTGCGTAGATTGAACACAAAATTAAAATTTATGATTTAAAAAAACTGACGGTAGCCCAGGTTAACTATAGGCCGAATACTGAAACGTTACTTAAATATTTAACGGCTTCCTAAACCTTATGGCATTCAGACGTCTAACGCCAAGATTACCACAATTTTCAATGTTACTGTAATTTTTTTTAATTTGTTTTGTTTTATTTTCTTGAACTCGCCCGATACTTAAATCTGGCTATGCCCGAGGGTAGCATTGACTTCCAGACTGTAATGATTTTGCGTATTGCTGAAGAAAACTGCACTAAAATAACAGCATCGAACGTGTACCCTAAAGAGATAACGCTATTGCTTACCAAGATAGACTGAGCTAAAAATTAACTTTAACTTTACTGTCGAGTAGTCTTAACACTTTAGCAATCAATTACATACAGGTGCACCATTACCATTCCATATAGCCTCGAGTCCAGGCTCGATATATCTTGGAAATCATATCACGAAACCGCGCATCCGTTTTGTAGCGACATCTTTCACTTCGACATGTGACCGGAATGAGGAATCCACATGAAATGTGGACTTTATTACGTAAGGAATGCGAACGCTGTTCTGACGGCTAAAAAGTGTCACTTTCTTTTATATAATTGCCGGTATAACATACAATGTAAACGAGTTGCGATATAAATGAACCATCAGAACTCATAGGTTTGTAATGTAAGGGATCTTAACCACTAAATTGATTATATAGCGTTTTTCATTCATGATAGTCCGAAGTCCTATCTGTGAATGTTAGTAATAGTAACTATACTAATTATTAAGAATCGATATTTCATCATGCTCAGATATCACTGCTTTTAGACTTATCGCCACCTTAACAATTAAAATTATTAGTTTTCGCCAAGTTGTTGAACATATTAGGTATTTTAAAATATTTACGATTTTTTTCATTATTCGTACACATTCGTTCATTGTATAAATGTATGGTGTTACATTTTAAGTTATAAATTAAAATTTATAACTTAAAATTTAAAGTAGTTCAGTAATATAATAAAGCTAGGGAATAATGAAACTAACGCTCCTAAAGTGGGCGATATACTAAAGCTTCAATAGTTAGTAAACAAAAGAAATTTAGAGGAGAAAAGGGTACCGAACTGTTTTGTATTTATCTGTTATGTGCATCGGTAAATTATTACGACATAATTCTAATCGAGTAGACAAGAAGAGTTAAAAGTTATTGTTGATCGAGTTTTGCTAAATTTACAAATTGACAGCTCTGGCTATATTTGTTTTGAGTTCTTTTGCTAACTCATAATACCTACAACATAGGAGTAGAATAATCTGCCAGAGTACGTTC